ATAATATACATTCCACTTACGAAGATTTTTCAAATGTCTCTGACCCAGGCTAGGCTGTCCAGGGACTGGAAAGATATCAATATATATTTAATCCTGTTTCTGCAGGAACATACCAATTGTACAGGCATGGATAAGTTATTATATAAATTACACATGTTTCGATGTGTGTCATTTATTTATTCTAACTGGTGCTCTTTATTGTTCTCTTCTTTCTCCTTTTTTGATTTCTTTCATCTTATATGGCTTGCCCCATTCCGATAAGGACAACTTTGTCAAGTATGCCGATGATCTGAATTCTTCCATGCCGGTGACTTCTCAATTAGACTGTCCCAAAATGAATAACTTCTTATTAGGAACTAATCAGTGTTCCTGGTGAAATGGTCTTCAGCTAAATCTGCTGAGAACGTGAGGGAATAATAATGATAAGAATCCTATGCTACTTTACTACTCCCCCTTCATCTCTCCTTATCTACCTAAGAAAGTTTTAGAAATAGTGCTAAGAGCACTAAAAGCTGTCATTAGAGCAAGTGCAGTGGCTCTAGACCGATTTCCTGATACTGTTGTAGATAGACGATTGAACTCAGGCAAAAAATTAGCGAAATCATCTGGCCAGCCTCTTAGTTTCCTCTTGATACACAACTCTCTCCTTGCGTTTCATCAGGTAGCACTAGAAGCAACTGCAGAAGGTTTTGTGGTCGGACTGCTAAGTATAAAAACTCCACAGTGCCTTATTTGGTACACACTGTGTGGTCAGAAAAATGATAGGCATGACACAATTACTACTTTTTGAGAAAATCTGAGTAAACGGCCCTTTTAGTTGCCTTTTATTTATGTATTTCTGTTGATATTTCTACTTTAGTTTTAATTTTACATCCATATTTCTACTGAATAGTATTATCAATGTACGCGGTTTCTAAATCATTTTTCCTCGTATTGTGCAATGTAAGGTGAAAAATGGGTGCAATATTTTATAACACACCAAAAATTCCACATTGCGCCAAAAGTGATGTTTGGAATAAATCCATTATCATTAGGATGTCGTCAGGGATAACTCATGGCAGTACGCCTTGTATTTACTAAATGAACGGAAGTAGAGAGGGCTGTGGACCTGCAGCACAAGTCGCGGTATGTGGGACTGACACTTCAGACTAAGCCACGCCAACAGTGCCAGGCGACAGTAGGCACCTGTTACCGAAAGCACGGAGGGAGAAGAACGCCAATGAATGGAATCATGTGGTCTGCCTCGAAGGGCGAGGCAGAATCATGGTACAGGATACCCTGAAAAGTGTGGAAATACCATTGTTCCAAAGCGCAAATGCCGGTCAAAGCAAAACTAGTTATCCCGAGATGCCTATGAGCTTCCCTAAAGAGAAGGGATTATAGGTTCCATACTCAATCCCAATCACCAACACAACCTCGAGCCAGTCACCACAGTTTTAGACAGGCGACTGTCTACAACCATAATTATTCATAGCCTGTAGAGAATCGCCCAAGAGGCTGACGCCACGGCATGTCGGTTGGTGGGCTTTCTTAAAGTCATGCTAATCAAGAAAAGACTGAGAATAATACAGTCGTGAACAGAACTCATGTCCTTGAGGGATTGGATATGTGCATCCGTGCAGACTTACACCTAGCAGACAGTACCAAAAGACAGTCAACTGAAGTTACACGAACAACGAGAAAATCCTCGCTGCTTGGGATTTTGAGCGGTGAAATTCCTAATTTTGATGGTTACTAATCCCCTTTGGGTATATCACTGAAGCACCAAAATTACCAGTGAACTACACTAATATTCACAATCCGTGGAATAAATGAACTTAGCTGAGCAGTGTGGCTGGCTTTGAATCTTGGATGTCATAGCCACTACTTAGTCTTGGCCAAGGTGAAAAAATCATTGACATCGAAGTCGACCTTCAGAAGTTCACTGGTTGCAGGGTGAACAAACTAAGCAGAAGAGAACGAAGGGTGGTTATTCGCACGAAGAAGTTCATAGCCTTGTGAAGCACAGAGGCTTCCGTACACAAAACTGGGTCAAGCGAATTTCTACTCTGTATACTGGAATAGAAGAGACAAAACAGTGGACAGCAGGAACCAGACATTAATGTATTAGGGCCTCATGGCCGCCGATTTTGGCGCACAGTCACCCAACCAAATGGGCCTTAAAACGCTGTCTGCAGACATTTCCTTCGACCATGAGGTGACAGGGCCCTCCATTTTGTTGTCTTCATTCTCGCATGTCAAGAAAGCTACGCGCTTTGATTTCTAGCACCTCTCCCCAACCATGCACATGGCTGTCTTCCATGGTGAAGATGTGAATCTCATTCAACATCTTCATCCTCTTGGAAGAAGTGATCACATGGTGACTGCATTCAAGTTTGCAGCTGCTGCAGTAACGCAGACGGATACTCTCAGTGTGACCAGACATGGTGAAGGCAGACACGAAGTTCATCACTTTCTCCTTTTCATCCAAGGACTAAGATTTCAATCCAGAACGTCGTATGAAGGTCCCATGGTATAAATGTAGGCAATTCCTCAGCTGGTGGTCCGTTCAGAAGGCTCGAAAACACCTTCTCCATGCGCGAACCGGAAGGATCATGAACGACTAAGGCGTTGACACGAGTACTGGTACGCATTTATCAGACCAGGAGGCAGCAAGGTGCAGTAGAAAACACAGCCATTGCAGGAATGTTATGGCCATTAATCGAGTGTGAAATGCATTTACCTCAAAACGCAGCGATACGGCCCAGGAGCAATGTTGTCACTTAAACCTTAGGTATAAGGTTTCCATCGAAGTTCAGCTACACCAACAAACCAAAAAGGATCGGGAAAAAACCAAGTCAGTGGCAGCCCGTCCTTGTGGATTCTGTACGCGAGTGCCACAACTGTCCGTAGCATAGTCCCTAGCCACGCCACGTGATTTATGCAAAAACACAGTGCCACATTATCTGAGCAAACTGGACAAGAAAGTCAATAGGACCTAATTAAATTCACATAAGTCCTATCAAGGAGTTGGCAATTGACATAGTCAGCTGATTTACTACGAACTTTGCGCCACCTGTCCGGCGATCAGTACTCCACAGTAACCCGCAATCACGAGAGAGTATCTGAAAAGTATAGAGAGATTACTGGAGAAAGCGTTAATGGCTTATTTGGAAAATACAAACACCGTAAGACTAAACAGAGCAGATATTCAAGGGGAAACTGTCTTGTCTGAAAAATCTTACGGCGAGGGGGAAGCTTGGTGAAGTTCAAGGAAAGCAAGGAACCAATTGACATTGTTCCCATAGAAACTGGCGTAACTTTAAACAAAGTGCCTCACACAAGACTCACCGGAAAATCCGAAAGTATGGAATCATGGGCTGCTAGATAAACCTTAGTAAGTAGTCATTTGTAATGAGGAGATAGAGATTTGGGATCGTCTCAAAATGCAATTCCTGACCCATGGTGTGCTGTTGTGCACCATAAGGTCCTGTACTCAACCCCTCGTATATATGCTTCATATGAATGAATTACCTGGGTTCATGGAATCTCAAATGGTTCCTAGTACAGATTGTCTAAAAATTAAGGATAAGATTACGGGCAATAGAAGGATTTTCACGCTTTAAACATATTTCAAAAATCTGTCAGACAATTGATTTTTTATCTATGAACGTAGCAGAGTGTGCAAGTGCCACTGTAAAATACTCAGTAAGAATACATCTCACTTCAGGTCAGACGCGCATTTATCTACATGCCATAAGAATTCATTACTTGAAATATGCAACAGACAGTCACACAATGGCACCCTTAAGTTTCACATCCTTACAAACATTACGCAGGTATTTTACCGATGAAATGTTCACCGCACTAGTCATAAAGATGGTCAAGTAAAGAACAGAAAATTGCATATTATTACATAATCTTTGTCACTGACTATACAAACTCAAAAAATAGAAAATTGCACCCTGTGAGTCAGGACTAGCCTCAAAGGGAATTCATATATTTCATAAATTCAGTGGACCACCGCAAATAATTCCTGATAAGACTGATCAGTAGCCTGGGGAAATCCCTCTTCTTTGTCATACCATTATTAGGGACAAAATCTGATCAAGACCTTCATAATTCTAAGAGACTACTGTGCAGCTGATGTGTCTTACCTTTGTGGAGTCCTCAAAAATAAACTTATCCAAATTTTACTATTATGTAAAAAATGAACATATTGTACACTACTTTGTTTTAACCAAAAACTCTGTACTTCGGACTTCCCTCGAGTTTTAAATAAATACATAATTCTGCCTTCGACTCTCCGTCTTCTCCACCATCTCAACTGCCGTCGATCAATTATAACAACCTGCTTTCTATCTCGAATTTTTGCAGGATCACCGTAGCCTCCTTCTACGCACTTTGGTCGACCTCCGGCAACGTCAACTCTGGAGAATTAGAACTGGAGCAGTCTTCCCGCAGCACTTCTGGAATCCATTACGTTTATTGTGGAATTTGGATCTTTGTAAACCCAAGTAACAAAACTTTAATATATTCTTCCCGTAAACTCAATTGATTTGGTATTTTGTTTTCTATTTGAATTTGGGTTAATAAGCTAACAGAGCAAAAGGTCCACCACAATAATTATCACGTCGGGCTCACCAATTATTGTGGTGGACCTTTTGCTCTGTTAGCTTATTAACCCAAATTCAAATAGAAAACAAAATACCAAATCAATTGAGTTTACGGGAAGAATATATTAAAGTTTTGTTACTTGGGTTTACAAAGATCCAAATTCCACAATAAACGTAATGGATTCCAGAAGTGCTGCGGGAAGACTGCTCCAGTTCTAATTCTCCAGAGTTGACGTTGCCGGAGGTCGACCAAAGTGCGTAGAAGGAGACTACGGTGATCCTGCAAAAATTCGAGATAGAAAGCAGGTTGTTATAATTGATCGACGGCAGTTGAGATGGTGGAGAAGACGGAGAGTCGAAGGCAGAATTATGTATTTATTTAAAACTCGAGGGAAGTCCGAAGTACAGAGTTTTTGGTTAAAACAAAGTAGTGTACAATATGTTCATTTTTTACATAATAGTAAAATTTGGATAAGTTTATTTTTGAGGACTCCACACCTTTCCCTCTCCACCAGATGGTAGCATCTCAGGTGACATATCTTAATCTTTCAAATGGGAACTACACTGCCATGGGGTACTGGTGTTCTCACAGTGTCTTAAGCTTTTGGAACTGCATGCCGGAGGATGTGGTTTCTACCTTCTCCATCTAGCAGTCTTAAAAGGGAATAGACTAGTGCACATACTGATTAAGAAGGGATTAAAAGATTTCGAACACCTTAGTCTCAAACCGAAATTCTGAATCTGAGTAGTTTTCTATGTACTATGGATTTTCAACATTTGAAGTACCTCTTAATAAACTTGTTATTCATTTAAATTGATTGACCTCGTTTTAAAACGCTTTTTCGACAATCGCGGGTCAGCTTGTAGACGGCCGTATGTTGGTTGATCAGCTGATGCTTACACACTACATTTGTTGGAGAAATCTAAAATTTTCCTCAGTATTCGTCGTTACACAGTTTTATGCTGGTATACTAGGTAAAAGCCAATGGGATGTGGCAGTGTTAGTGAAAATAGGGAAAAATGAGGCATTTTTGTGGTCGTAAATTACGGCAATTTTACAAATAGTTAAAATAGTCACTTTTTCGTTTACAAAGTGTCAAGTGACTTAAAGAAACACATTACAACTTCTAGTGGTTTTTGCGGTTCAAGAGATTAAACATCAACACCATAAGTTGGGCTACTTCATTATGATAATTATTTTCACTTTCTTTGTTTTCTATCTTTGCTACTGTCTCAAAGGTCCTCTACTATGCATCCCTTTAAGGAAATCTACGGAAACATCCAGGAATTTTGTGAACATAGTATTCAGTCTTTTCTCGGCAGAGGCCTTATGTTTACAGGCAGATGCGGCGTCCATTTTTTCTGACTAAAAATATTGACTGATGTAGCTGTCCTTAACTTTTTTTGTTAATGCGAAGTCAATATCGCTATATTTCTTGAAGTGGTCCATTGAATCACTAGTTATCAGACTTTTCCCACAAACTAAACATAAAATGACAGCAACCATGTTATTTAACCGTAAATCATGTAATTTAAATAATACTTATCCATGTCTATACAACTTGTGTTTCCTACATTTGTAGGAATAAATATGTACCTTATTATATTATAATTGCTAACTATACTTACTAATCGTATGTGTAATTTATCGAATTGATGATGCCTGTAAACTGGCGTCCCTCATGTACACAAATGAGAATATATTATTATTATTAACGTATTTCTCATACTTTCTAGAACTCTATTTAAATTCTGAGTTTTTAGTGGTAATGATGTCTAAATCTTTTGGACTCTTTTGTCAGGTTATAGCTGATTTCTGTGGATTAATAGCCCTTGGTGCTGAAGAGAATTATTTCCATAGTGTCATTGATTTTGCACATGTCGAACCAATAATACAAGTATTCCTCTCAATTCGTTCGTATACTCTACCTGACTGAATATTAATCAGTCTTTGTGAAAGATGTAAGCAACAGAGTTTACGGGTTTACCTTTGAATTACTAAGTAAAGGCAGATGTTCGGGGGAGTTAATTGATAAAATGGTTATGTTGCGGCCAAATAAGGTGGATATGTCCACATCTCAAAGAAGATATTTAGATTATAAAGCGTATGAAGTTATATGCCGTCTGAGCTAAATATACCAAACGACTCGCAATTCAGAGTCACAAAGCGGAAACAGATCAGTGTGAGAAAGTTAGCTTGCAATTCCTACATACCGTCTTGCGCCATGAGGAAAAGACTGTATCTATGCTACTGGACGTGAGACTCAATACAACTGCGGGCACAATGTTAATCTCAAAAAGAATACCTAAAGTTATCGGCCACAGAACACGGTACGTTACTACCAGTTCATCTGATCGAATCATCAAACGTTTCCCAGTTGCTGCAAAATTTCCTAATAGTTTACCCTTAATCGCTACACTAGTGCGTGTTACTGGTGTTGCTGGGACACAATCGCATTACAACAGGAGGAATACAGATTCATTGGAGAAGTATTCACCACACAACAGTTAGATTTCAGCTGTTCAGATAATTGTGATTAGTAATCCCTTGTTACTGTTAGCGGATTCTACCCACGACCACAGTAGACATTTTCATCCATAGGAGTCTGAAAGTGTTCAAGAAAAGCATAGCTAACTTGGATAGTACATTTATGGTCTGAATACAAAATGTTTCCAGATGACTGACTGATAAGTAATAACAAGTAATCACTTTACAAACAATATACAGATGTGGCTAAATAGTTTCCATTAAACTCAAGGAACTTCACAAGTTATCGTTGGTAGACCCCTTGCAGGCACACAGTAGCAACATGCAGTGATAGGATTATCTAATAACAAGTTGTGAACTAATTCCCAAAGCTTGTACAGGAAGTTTAGCACGAATGATAACGGCTTTATGACATGTATTAACATTATCAACGGCTATAGTTGTAGTGATAATAGCGTCCATGTTCATGTTGACTGTAACAACAACAATAATAGCTATTATTTTAGCGATGAATTCATTTTTATATATCAATAAAATATATCAGTAAGTCTTATGAGTGAAGTGCTTACTTACTTTCACTGTTGTAATCTCACAATACTGATGGGGTCAACTAGTTTATTCCAACTGAACTCCAGATTAATTCTGAAAGTGAATGGGGTTCCTATTTATTCATATACAGGACTCTGATGTTTAAAAATTATCTCCCGGCTTCACTGCAGAGGATAATTGGTAATACCAGATGAGATTCTGTAGGCTAAACATTTCTCAAGTCTTAATCTTGTGAATATACTGTGAGTAAAATTTCGTTCCCACTTGAAATGATTTCGGTAATTCTTATTTAATTTAGTCAAAGAAATTGTTTGTTGGCACGATCCCATCAAATCAGGAATTGTCGCGGCTCTTGGGTTGACAACCCTTTTGAGTCTGTCTTGTATGTCCCTAATATCTTTTATCGCCTACGCCGGGATGTCGTTAATATGCTGCACCACGGCTTCGAAACTTTATAATGCTATTACTCTTCCGTTCAAATCAAATTCATCTAAAGATCCATTTAAGTAAGTTTGATTCTGATGAAATTTTATCTCTTATATCTCTGGTTGTCCAATTATTTCTGTCGGAACACTATTACCTATGCAAGTATGTAAGCGACAATACATCCCAGCCTATTAAACACTACTATCGTACTAAATGAAGTTGTTTCATTACTGGTAACCCACATCTCACTTTTTCTGGCTCAAACATATAAGGTGAAATCAAACAAGTCTCTTCATAGTTGATCAGATACAATGTTTTCATTCATTGAGTTTAAAAATTAAGGGTGTTAATTTCTAGTGAAAAAAAGTCCACCAGAGAAATGTTATACTTTTTAGCACTTGAAGTTGAGATATCTTCGGTAAACAAATGATTGTTTAGTAAAGATTGTAGCTCGTTGGCTTGTGCACTCAACTTTCAGTCAATGGGTCCCGGATAGGAATCCCGTTGAATTTATTTAAGCCTAGACAACTCGGTTGTATTACTAGTTCTCACACAGTATGTAGCTTACAGTTTGGTACATAATTCTGTTGCAAGTAATGGAGTGCTAAATGTATCAAAATAGAATTCCTTGATTTGAATTAGTAGATATATACTATCAGTGTGTAACATTCTATTTTACTTACTATAAATCTACTTACGATAATTGCTGTTATATTAGAACTAACAGGATGTGAATGTCTATTTGCGTACCTGTCATTTTGTTCTTCTGCGAAATGTATAATACAGTAGCCGATGCAATATTCCCTACCATTAAGAAAATTCCAGTAATTTAGTACATTCCCTCACATTGTAGTTTTTCTATCTCTGTGTGACAGTTTTTCTTTCTATATTATCTGCTCTTTTAGATATTGGCTTGAATTGAAAATCACTTTGCCAGAAGAAAAGATTGCCGAGCGTGTCCCAGCTTTGTGTGAAAAGTTGTCCGAAAATTTGAATTATTTACGTCGCGTTATTTGGTTGCAAGACTACTTTGAGACTGCTAAGGTAAATGTAACAACAGTACTTCAGCAATTACCAATAATTGCCACTTTTCCTTTAGTAATTTAAGGAAGATGAGCGAAATATGACATGCTAATTGTAGATTTATCTGTTAACTCCGTAATAATATCTCTTGTAAAAGAGTTGACAGGATTGTCTTTTTACCATCTGATAAGATGTGATTGCCTAGAGCTTCTTATGAAGCAATTTGTTTGATGCATTGGCGTCAGCCAGCTATTTAATGCAGAATATTTTTGTTAAAAAAAGTTTCTCACGTATTTCAGCTTGAACAATTGAGTAATATCTCTAACCGTCACAGAATAAGCGTAACTCACATCTAGATAACTGTTCTAACTGATGAGAAGAAGTTTTCTACTTAAAAAAAGTTATTTGTCATCTTCCCTATTGTCAAGAAATACCTTATCTACATTGTCTTATTAATTTCACTTATGTTAACTTGCAAATTTTCTTACTCTTATCTGTTTGTCATTGCTACTTTCCAGTTCGTTGTGTGTTTATACCTACTTTCGGTAGTAGGTTCTTGGTTTAATTTGCTCACCGTGATAACCATCGGTAAGTCTAGTGTTATCTGGTGTGTGAATTCAACCACCGCTTCATATATACATATATATGTATATGTATATATATATATATGTTTATATATATATGCATGAATATCATGATGAATGATCAATAGTTTAAATATACCATTGATGAAGTAATTAGTGAGTGTTTATGTGGGTAAAGTTTTCCATTGATTGTTGTTACATGATCTGCCTTAATGGATCGACGTCCAGGCGTCTGACATGGTTGCCAATAACCAAAACGCCATTCACTGCCTTCGAATCCAGGGAATCATGTTCACCATAGGTTTCGAGTAAGGTTTTTCTCCACGTAGTCACTATGTCAATCGGTCTGTTGATCATAAGTTCAGGAAATCCGCCCTTTCACTTTCTTGAGAACAAACTTCACCCTCTGCAGTACAGTGACGAACTTAAGCGTTATTCAGCAGCTAAGTTATAAGAGAAACGAAGAGCGTGGAGGAATCGAGACACTTCAATGTCTCGCAAAGAAGCAGCCGATAACTTTATCGTTGACATTACAAAATGTTTTCCTAAGTTTAGTTTAAAATACAATATCCACTACTATTCATCATTAAGGAAACCTCAGTCATTGCGGTTTCTTAATATTTTTGACCTGCTTTAACTTCTGGCCACCAGTTAGTTAGTCAGTTTCACAGAGAACTGCTGACTGACTGCATAAATATCAATTTATCACTTGATACCGGGTTTTATTTTAGTATGTTTTTTTACAATTAATTATGGTGATTATCGAAATGATAATATGCTCTACATAATGTGGTAGTTGCCTCATTATTCTATAGTAACTTCGTGCTAATGTTTCTGTAATGATCATTTTGTTTTTCAGCGTTTGTTCTCGGCATGACTTGTCCTAAATTATATTTATTATACAAGGTAAGAAACGTTTGCTTCCCTTTAGGCAATATAATACTTACGTAATTTGATTTAATTCAATTATTTTTTTTATTTTCAAGTATTGGTTTGTAGGGATTCCGTTTGATTGGTTGGGGGATTTCATCTTGAGCATGACATCAGTTAGAGAACCATTGGAGAACCTAGGAGTACTGGACAGTTGTTTCGCGCTGGTTTGGGCCCCACAGCAGCACGCACCCACCGGGGTCCGAACCCAGGTCCTCCTGGTTACAAGGCCAGCGAGCTTGTAGACCATTAGGCAGCCACTAGGACCCGACCCAATGACCCTTAAATTCTAACTTCTGTCAATTCATGACATGGCGCGACCAATTCGCAATGTCTTCTTCGATGAGTTACTGCCTCACCTTCAACCTGCTGTACCCTGCTGGTCATGGCATCCCACTAGAATCCCAGGTAACTGCCTGAATAAGGCCAGTCGCTAGTAAGCAAAATGACGTCTTTTGGCTCACTGTTTATTGATCGGACCATTTAGTTGGTCGGTCTAAAAAGAACTGCGACGACGAGTCGTCGTAAACGATGAGGTCTCGTCCAGAGATGTATTTTGCATTTCTTCTACAACTTCATCTGTAATCAAAGTTTATTTTTGTCTCAACTGATAGTTTTGTTCCTCATGAATTAGTTTTATTTAATATTTCTAAATTTGTGATATGATAGTAAGACTGAATTCCGAGTGCCATTGTAAGTAGTGCTCGAGAGCCTGAAAGATTATTGCTTGAGTGTTGAGCTTGTCGTGTAATGCTGCATGTATCTGATAATTCCAGGTCTGTGTACTGATTAGCTTTTTTGTTTAAGCTCAAATATGCGGGATAGATTTTTCATTTAGCAGATTGATGATAGTAGCCAGTGAGTTATGCAGCACTCGAATCTGTGACCCATTAACTAGAAATCAAATGGTTAAACGATTGAACGACATCCCCACCATCTGTGTAATGGTGCATTCATACGATAGATATCTATTTAAAGTAATTTGAAATTAACTTATTAATTTCTCTTGTTTAGCCCCAGTTTGACGCGGCATTCCAAATGACTAAGAAGACATTGATCAGAATGCTTAAATTGTAAGTGTAAAAATCTCACCAAAAGTCTTCTTTATTTTTGTTTCATCAGTCTACCTTGAGTTATATACTATCTGCTTTGTCAAGCTTAATAAGACTGATAACTTCATCAGTCTTAACCACCTTGTATAATCTAACGGAAAATATGTCTTCTATTTGAAGAATGTTATTTATCAGTCTGATAGTGAACAAATCGATTGATTTGAGACTTTCTTGCTGAGTCATTTTACATGATAATATTTAAATCAAATAAAAGAGGACTAGTCCTACAACAAACATTATTATTATGATTGTGATTATTATTAGCAGTTTGTACTTATTTAACATTATATTCTTAGGAGGACATTTTCGATAAGTTGACAGCGTAGCAGGAGAAAGTGCCTTATATGTAATTCATTAACTGTTTGCACAAAATGTAAGGATAACAGGTGATTAGCACAAGCATACCTGCATACATTAGGAACATTCAGTATATTGGACCACGACAACCTTCCATATCGAAGTAAGATAACCGACATAGTTTCATGATCTCTACACTTTGTATTATCCGCTTCATATGATTATAATATTTTAATATACTAAACAGCATAGTGATCTTTTATTATTTCAGCGCTGAAGCGAAGCTACCGCGGCTTCGTAGGAAGTCTCACCTGTGATCAAGCCTACCTCATCAGGAGGAGATACATTACATTCTATGTACAATTTGCTTCCTTCCCTGATCTCCTGTTCATATTTCGAAACCGTTGAGCAGTCATCATGTCAGATAGACTGTGTTGACATTAAAATGGCCGTTTATCAACGAATGTTTCATGACACTTCCGCTTCTTCTTCTTCTTTCCGTCTTCGCTTTCTTCTTCTTCTCCTTCGTCTTCTTCTTCTGCTCCTCCTCTTCACATGTATTCCCTTTTGATGAGAGAGATATGTAAAATTGTGTTCAATAAAGCGATAGCAATTGCCATGGAATATTGCCTTCTGATGTGTCTTTCTAGTGTTATGAGTTGTGACCGTTGATTGTTGAAATAGAGAGGAATTCAGTGGGAGTGATCCTGTGGGTGATTCGCACACTTCGATGTTAGTGTGATGAAAGGAAGATGTGTGAAATGATTCCACTTGGAGACTGCTATTAGGTGGTAGACTGATTTGTGCCCTGAGGATCGTGAACCTCGGAATTTGTAATTTTTGCCTGCGTTGTCAGTGTTAGGCTAATGACAGTAAGTAGATGGTGATTTCACTCTGAATGCGTTTCACAGCGAACCTCGGACAAATGTATGCATAGTTTTCCTCTTTATTTCGCAAATGATATTGCACAGTCTACCAGCAAATAATGAATATTCCCATAGTAAAATTTAGAACAACACATTCAAGCGAATAATATTGTTTTCAATTAGATGTCATCAGGCTCAACTCTAATATACATAACTTTACAAATAAAAATTCAAATATAAACTCATCATGGTGTTTTGTCTGTGGGGTAATGAGATAGCGAATATAAATTGTGCGATTAGTCATATAAGTAATAATGGTTCTATCAATAATAAGAATGAAAAAGTGAGGCGATCTGTGATAGCACGAATAACGAAAAACATCATCATGATTAAAGAAACAAATGTTCAGGTAGAAGTAGTCGGTAAAGGCTGAGGAGAACGAATGAACCGATTAAGTAGTTCTAGATTGTAGGGGAAGTAAATAGAATATGTTTCAGTGAAGATGTGGTAAGATTAAGGGATGACAAGAGAGGAGGGGTTGAAAATACAAGTAAGGGGTGGTGGAGAAGTTATCAGTCAGTCGGTTAGGTCTCAACAGGCCAAGTGAGGGATAGTGGCTTTTCGAACTTCTTTTGAATGCATAGTTTAGGTGTAATAGTTGGAATGCCTATCGCCTCTCATTTTCACGACTACCTGACGCAGTGAATTCCACTCAGAATTCATGTGAATGATAAAATGTACTCATCACTGCAAATACAACCTGATGTCCATCAGTGATCAACAACCAGATGGATTTTCAGAATATCCGAGTGAAATGACGACATTTGAAATAATAAATGCATGCATTAGAACAGATAAGTGAAGGTGACGGTCGATGTATGGTGTTGGTGCTAGATTACAAATTAACTGGGTTTCGAAATCAGAATCCAGTAGATTTGGACAGTAGATCTGATGGGTAACACGACGCCTGCGTATGTTCAGGTTGCTGGACTCATTCACTGGTACCAGCAGCTGAATAGTGGTAAGACGTGAAGAAGCACCAGTCAGATGTCTTCTCATTTTAAATGTCTCCTCTGAGGAGGTTTCAGGAATTCGAACAGACGAGCCTACACGATTGCAGACAGTGGATTCATATTTGGTTTGTTCAGTCCTGAAGCGCTAGCGTAGCACCAACTGTTTCACAACTAACAAATGACTAAAGCTATTACAGAGTGTGCCACAATTCCATATTAATTAGTTTGTTGGCTATGTCACACAGTGCAGTAGTAGTAAATACTGATTGATGATTCGAATAAAATGTATTGTTCATCATGATTTCAATTGGGACTACACAAATCCGAAACTTGATATCTGTAGTTTCCTACTACGCCTATAACCAATATAAAAGAAGAGCTAGAAGTGTGTGCAGACCGATTTACATACAACGCAATTCACTCCACTTTTCTCAAGACTTCACAAACTTGTTTGCATTGAATTGGATGTGCAGCACATAATGCTTAGTATGCGTGTGTTGTTCAAAACTGAATTTGACAGGCTGGTTTCACTACTCTGATGTGATGTTTAGACGTAAATTATGGTGGGAGTCGAAGATATACTCTTCAGGTTACTTTCATTTAGTTGCTCTGATTGTTCACACAGAGACTGACTATGTTGAACATCACAATGTGTAGATGTCTACATCGGTAGCTTGGAATTTATTGGTGTGAAATCTGCTACTTCTACTAAGCCATTCGCTGCATCGTTTCATGATACACAATGTTGATTTATTGCATTCTAGTCATTCTATCTATTATACAGTATACGTTCTCTCCGACAATACATACGAATGAATGAGCAAGCTGAAGTATCTCTGTTTGATGGGAATTCAATCAACTAATATTGGTTTCTCATTTGGTCTAGAGATATTGACCTCTGGGTGATCTTCCATTTGTCTAGTGGTAGGTATTCTTTTCAACCCTTCCAGCATCGTTACTAAATGACAAAAAAGACATTCCTTTCATCGATTAGTACTTTCTTCATACATGAGGTCTAACAAAACTCAATATATACCTGCATCTTCATTATTTGACTAAAACTGTCTGCGTGGTTATTATTATATAATGGTGCAATAGTCTCTGTGGACATGATTTACTAGGCATTCTTGACACGACGACAGTGACTAAATATTTCCGTCATCATCATCAAAATATGTTATTATATATACATATGTATGAACAGAATTTGGGGACTAATCTTATTAACCCACTGCATTAATTCGCCCGAAACCCACTTTCCTTCGACTTAACAAAGAAATTAAAAGGCCCATTACATGTCATGATGATGGCAAGTGAAGCAACGATAGCGGCTCTACGATTTGCCCATAATGACCTGAAACTACCTGCAGCCACCGCGCGACAGCTTGCTGTAGTTTTTAAGTCGTGGCTAACTATGACACCTAAGTCCAAGTGGGTCTGAACTGATGGAAGTGTAATTCCCTCTAGTTCGTAGGAGCTCGTGCTTGCTTGTCCAATGCGCATGGTTGCACATTTTGCCACATTTATCGGGAGCATCCATTCTATGAACCACTCTGACAATTTGTTGGGGTCCTCTTGCAACGTGGACGTGTCACTGTTGCCCTTCAGCTCTCTCCAAATTTTTAAGTCATCTGCGTATAGGACCATAGGGGAGTCGGTGAGCAGAGATAACTCATTGATATACAAAATAAATAGGAGAGGTCCGAGTACCGTGCCTTGTGGCACTCCGCTGCGTACTGCTGTCCAGGAGGAGAGTTTCGAGTTGATCCTAACCCTCTGCTTCCTATCTATGAGGAATTCCCTGAGCCAGTTTAGTAAGCTGCCTTTGATACCAAGACTTTCCAACTTCATGAGTAGTCTTTTGTGTGGTACTTTATCAAAGGCTTTGCTGAAGTCTATGAAGACGACATCAATGGGTCTTCTGTTGTCCCTGCATTTGACCCAGCTCTCTCTTGCAGTGAGAAGATTTGACAGGCATGAGAGGTCCCTTCGGAAGCCATACTGTGCTCCTGACAATAAGCTTCTATTTTCTAGATATGCCATTGTAGCGGTAAATAATTCCCCAAAATTATTGACCACAGCAATCATCACTCAACATTGGGTGCTGACCCTCACTGTGTAAGTCGACTTGTTTAGCTGAAGGCTTCCGGTCAAGCATCCCCGCCATTTGGTACTCCGTCGTGTCACGTGCGTGCACGATTACTAGCTAGCTAAGCATTCACTTCAACCCGCGATTTGGGTACAGTATTTTCTACTTCGATATTTCTCACTCACATTGTCTGGTATCCTTTGTTTCTTGCGAATTAACTGTGACAAGCTGTGGCAATAATATGCTTCATTAACGAGTATTTTTTCTAGAATTTCATCTCAGGTAATCAGTGCGATCGGAAGCAGCACATAAGGTAAGAAGCTGCGAACGCATTAGAAGAGTTTCAAAAGGCGAGGACCTTATTTATCGCTAACAGTGACAACCTTCTCCACATACCATTATGTGGTTACGTTCACATGCAGAAGAAAAAAATTGGCGAATTAGACACTGCATAGTAATGAGACATATTTGTGTATCTTTCATCTAGCCTGTATGTTTCGCTCTAATATTTTTGTCCCTCAGACCACTAACAAAGTATTGTCAAATGTTTCCTTTTAGTATGATTCGATGGCACAATTACCGGCAGTTAATGATATTATGTATGCGGAATATTGACGATATTTTCTGCACCATTAATGTGCTCCACATTTCAAAAGAAGTGTAAACTATGATGACTGAGTTTGTTGAATACTTAAGTCATGCATGTTAATCATGTAAATGCTTAATTTACGTAAGTGAATTTAATCTGTATCACTTTTAGGAATGTCAAGTCGTAATGAGGCCTGTCAATTAATTAAATTCATTGGAAGCAGATGTTACTGTTTACATTTTACAATTTATTTAGGATAGTATACTAAATAGCCTATAGTCTATATGCCTGTGTTAATCCTTTCGATTTGTTGCACACTGGAGGTCCAATCTCGCCTTGATTGTATCAACGGATGGCGCTGATACGACGTGTTCCGATAGGGAGTTCCAACGGTTCACAATTCGATGAGAAAAACGGATCTCCAGACGCAGACGATTCGACCGTGGTTTTTGAACCTTGAGGTGATGTCCTCGCAATTGGTTGGTGCTAGAATGAAGAAATAAATTAGATAAATTAGCTCCAAAATCATTTCTTATGATACGGTATGCTAGTATTAGGTCACCCCTAAGTCGTCTGTATGACAGTGGAAATAAACCCAGTCGACCTAACCTCTCCTCATATGAGAGGGTTGAGAAACCCTTTATTAGCTTAGTTCCTACTCTTTGCACCCTTTCTTATAAGTCTATTTCGTATTTGAAACACGGGCTCGCTACCTGGATCCCATATTCCAAATGAGGT